GTTGTGTTCCCCCTCTTAGTAATCTTTGTAATGCTGGCTTAATGTTTATGTATTCGTTTAGTTTTTCAGCTCTCCATCGAATATGAATACTAGCTTTGCCAGGTACATCAGTCTGGGTTGGCAGTTATTGGCTCTCAGGGCTCGTATGGTACTTTCCCAGGCCTTTCTTGCATTCAGTGTTTGTGTGGAGAGATCTGCCATGATTCTATTTTTTTTCCATTGTAATATAGCTCCTTCTTCATTTTTGCTGCATGCAAGATTGTTTCCTTATTCAGATCTATCATTTTTATTATAATGTGTCTAGAAATGTTTCTCCTGGGATCTTGCTTGTTAGGTGTTGTATATGCTTCTGTTATGTAGGTAAGATGTTCTTTTTTGAGGTGGGGAAAATTTTCACTGATTATCTTGTGGAATAGGTGTTGCATTCCCTTGCTTTGATATTCCTCACCTTCGTCTACTCCAATTATACGAAGGTTAAATTTCTTGGCACTATCTGCTTGCTCTTGAATTTCCCTTTGGCATAATTTAAGTGATTTTTCCATATCTGTCTGTCATTTTTTGGTCCAGTTGGTGTATTCTGTCTTCTGTATCTGACACTCTACATTCCATTTCGTTCACTCTGTTAACTGTGGCTTCCATTATGGTTTGCATGGAGGAAATGGACTCATTTATGGATTTGATGTTGGTTCTCAAAGTACTGATCTCACCTCTTAATGAGGTATGTACTGCCTCTATTTTGGCATTTATCTCACCTCTTAGTGAGGTATGTACTGCCTCTATTTTTGCGTGTACCTCGTGTTTGAGATCCTGCATCTCTTTCGATAGTTCGTCCCTGTGTTCTTTCAATTTCTGGTCTATTTTTTGCTTTATTTCTTGAGTCACTGCCTCCAGCATCCCTTGGATGTAGCTTCTGTCTTCCACTCCTGTTTTGCTCCCACTGGGGCTCTCCCCTAGGTGGCTGCTAGCTATTGGGGATAGCTTGTTATCCTGGGTGTTGATAAACCTTGTAATTTTTTCTCTGTGATTTTCACATGGGGATTCAGGGATTATTGGAGACTAATCTGAAATTTTGTTTTGGTCAGTAGGTGTCTGTCTTTGCTTGGTTGCTGTTTCTGTGTTGGTAGAGAGAGTCTGTACTTGCTCTCGGTTCTGTTGGAGGCCAAACTTCAGCTTCTGGTCTGACCCACATAGGGTTCTCAGCTCTCTGCTGTAGATCAGCACAGAGGCAGTTCCCGCCTTTGGAAGGGTTGAGCAGCCTAGACTGCTCCTGTTTGCTCCTACAGGTGCTCTTGGCAAGATTGGATGTGCCGGATGCACTCTCCCAGATGCTGGAGTCTGCTATGGGCTCCTGATGGTTTTTTTTGGGGGGGGGGGCAGTTGTGGGCTTGAACTCTGGGCTTGGGCGCTGTCCCTCAGCTCTTCAGCTCAAGGCTGCCATCCTACCATTTGAGCCACAGCACCACTTCTGGCCCTTTCTGCTTATGTGGTGTTGAGGAATCAGATCCAGGGCCTCATGTACCCAAGACAACCATTCTACTGCTAATCCAGCTTACCAGCCTGAGCTCCTGCCTATTATCAGGTGCTGGCGGCCTGTGTTGTCCAATTCCCAGCCTAGAATGTATGGGTCGGGTTCTGGTGGGGTTTGGGATTCTCTTGTCCTGAGCCCCTGGTTCTTTTGCTGTCACAGGGATGCTTCCCAGGGAGTGCAGTTCCCTGTTTTTCTCCCCTCTGCTGAGGCTTATGCTCAGCTTCTGATTTCAGTTGGGAGGAGTTGGTTGTGTTGCTCAGACACCAGATCCCCAGGCCTGGTCCCGGCCCCCGGCCTGGGGCTCACTGGTTGGACCTGTGCTGCTGTGTATTCTACCTAGGTTACACAGCCTGGGGTACACAGTTCAAATTTCTTCCACTGTTGGGTGTCTTGACCCAGGGGCGCTGTTCCTGGGTTGGGCATTTAAGCTCCCTTCCAGGGGCATTCTTGCTCTAGCCTGGCCAGCTGAGTGTGCTCCACGGGCTGATGGAGCTCTCAAACAGTTCCCAGTTTTAGTGGGTCCTGTGGTCCAGGTGTTGGGGTAGGGGGTCTGGGTCAGGGTCTGGGGATTCCCACCAGCTCTGGTCTCCCTTGAGGCATACACTGTCCCCTGCATGGTACTCACCCTGGAGGTAATTGTTTCTTTGTGATGTAAGTCGTCGGTTGCCATTGCAATAACCAAGAGTTCAGTTGAGGTGGTTGCGGGCTAGGCTGGGCGGTGGTGGCTCTGTATGATTCTCTTCTGTCTCTGCCTTGGTTGAAGCTGTTTGGGTCCAAGCCACGAAATGGGCCTCCGGCCTCTGCCTGAGGGGTGGGGGAGGGGCCTCTGTGCAGGTTGTGAGCGCTGGGGTTTGCCTCTGTTTGTGCTCTCCGGATCAGCATCCGTTCCTTGCAGGTCTTCTGCTCTGGTGTTCTCAGGGCATCCTGTGTAGCTCTGGGGTTCCTGTCATGGGGCCAAATTCCCAGCTCAGAGGTTTCTCCATTCGTCGCGATTGGCAGGTCTGACACCGGTACCTCAGGCGGCTTCTGAGCGGGTTATCTGCAGACAGCCCCCTGTGTCTCTGGGACTCTGGCAGCCTTCGTGCTGGTTCTGAGCGCTGGGGTTTTTCTCTGTTTGCGCTCTCCAGATCAGTACCAGTTCCTTGCAGGTCTAATGCTCTGGTGTTCTGTGGGCATCCCTTTTAGTTCTGGGGTTCCCACTGTGGGGTTGAGTGGCTTTGGCGGGATGGAGTCTCTCTGCTCAGATGGAGAGTGAGGGGTGGGGGTGGAATCTTTGTGCAAGCTCCAGGCTAGGAGGTTTCTCTGTTAGTCATGATCAGCTGGTCTGACACTGGTACCTCAGGTGCTTCTGCGGGTTATCTGCAGACAATCCCCTGTGTCTCTGGGACTCCAGCAGCCCCTGCCATGCTGGCTGGCCGCAGCCTGGCGCGCTACTGCGCGGCCAGTAAAAGTTGGGGGGGGGGGGCGGGTCTTCGCGCTCCTCTGTTCTGAAATTCTTCTTTTTCTCTCTTTCTTTTTTGTTATTTTCTACCTATTGTTTTTCTCTGGGTGTTTGTCTTTTTGTTGTTGTCGGTCTCTTGGGGAGATTAAGCATTGGAACTCGAACTCTCTTTTTGGTTGGGGAGAGCTGTGGCATTTCCCTACTGCCCCATCGCCATCTTGGTCCCTCCTCACCCAGAATTTTCTTAATAAAGACCCAGAAACACAAAAAATCAAAGAAAGGTTGGACAAAAGGAATTGCATGAAACTGCACAGCTTCTATATGGCAAAGGACATAGCTAGCAAGCTCAATAGAAAGCCCTTGGATTAGGAGAAGATCTTCACTAGACATACAACAGACAAGGGCCTCATATCTAAAATATACTTAGAACTCAAAAAATTAAATCCCCCAACAACAAATCCTCAAAGAAGCAACTGCTCGATTAATAAGTGAGCTAAAGACTTGAAGAGAAACTTCTCTGAGGAGGAAGTAAGTATGGCCAATAGACACATGAAGAAATACTTGACTTCTCTAGCCATGAAAGAAATGCAAATCAAGACACATTGTGATTCCACCTCACCCCAGTTCGAATGGCTATAATCAAAAACAATCTAATAATAACAGATACTGGAGGGGATGTGGCCAAAAGGAAACTCTACTGCATATTGGTGGGAATGTAACCTTGTTTAACCACTTTAGAAAATAGTGGTTCCTCAAAAGATTCCACATAGAGCTCCCCTATGACCCAGCAATCCCATTTTTGGGCATTTACCCAAATGATCACAAACAAGGTCATACTAAAGCTACTACCACAACTATTTTTAACACAGTTATTATTTACCATAGCTGAGATATGGAACCAACCCAGATGCCCCTCAGTAGACGAACGGATCAAGAAAATGTGACACACACACACACACACACACACACACACACACATACACACACACACACACACACACACACATTGGATTTCTATGCCTCCATCAAAAGAATGACACCAACCCCATTTGTTAGGAAATGAAAAGACTTGGAAAAATTATATTAAGTGAAGTAAGACAGTCCCAAAGAAACATGGGTCCCATGGTTTACCTTATTTGTAATAACCAGTATATGTCTAGGACAAGCAGAAAAGGTCAAAAGCTATTTACATATGACCATAGAAGATGATGCTAAGCAAAATGAACCCCAAGAAAAGGACACAAGTGGTTTTATCTTTCTTGCTGTTATTTTTAATGTATTTATAATGAACTATGTGATTTTTTTTGTATGTTCTTTCCCCATGGTACAACTCATTTTCACTATGTTTGATTCCAGTACCCTGCATCTTGTATATACATTTTTCTAATTTGGAAGGGGAAGGCAAGTAACAAAATGCTGAAATAAGGATACAGGTTGACCCATTGTAACAAGAAGATGCACAAGACATTATGTTCAAAACGAACTTTTACAACTTCCGAGGTGGGGGGGGGGACTTAGGAAGGAGTTGGGGAGGTGAAGAGTGAAGGGATGGTAGGGGAAAAAGGAAGGAGGTAACAATGCTGGATAGGAAATGTATTCATTACCTTACTCATGTAACTGTAACCCTGCTGTATAGTATTTTTACAATAAAATATACAAAGAAGAGTAACATCAGGAATTTAATTGGTCCAAGAATGTGGTTAATACCCTTGATTCTTATAGAACTCATGAGCAAGCTGGACTCCCAGAGATACTCATTAACATAAGGTCAGAAATGGGAACATGACCTGAGTGTCCTCAGCCACATTTGGGCTGGTTGACTCCACCAGGAGCTACCTACACACCCCTGCTGTCAACCTTGAAAAGGTATAGGCTGCCTGTCAAATACCTCATCTCAAAGTCCAGCCCAGGAGTAGTTGGTGCTACCCACAGACCTATCTACTGGCTATAATTACTTATTTAATTATTAGTGTTCAGAAATGAACAAGTCCTGAAGTAGTTAGTCATGTCTGTGAGTTGATCCAGACTTACCCTCTGACCTTCTTCCCCAGGGGGGCCTTGGGGGCCTCGAAGTCCCTCGGAAACCTAGAAGAGAAGACATTCGTTAGTAGATTGCTCAAATGCCCTGCCTCAAAAAGAATGCTCCCCGTTTAAACCCAACTTGCTTACAGGTGAGCAGACACTGGTGAGGCTGAGCTAGGCACTGTGTTAATAGTGGTCTCTATTTCTCAGAATTGAGCCTCTCCTCTGGTGACATTTGGTGTGTATGTGTGTTTTAGTAACTCATGTTTAAAAACACTTAAAGAGCTGTCAGCTTTTGGATGAACATCAGAAATGGCATGCACAAATCTGACTATTCATGAAATGATCATCGTTTTCCTAAGGGCAAGAAGGAAGAGTTGAATCTGGAGCCAAGAACCCGTCAGCCTCATGAAAAGTGGCAGTCTGCAACTATACTATATTAACACTTGGTATACTTGCAATTAGCCATTTTTCTGATAAACATTAGGTACTCACCATCCTAAAGTTAGTCTAATTAGTCAATTTTCCTTGATTATACATCTTACTAAGTGATTTCTTTAACTACAGACATGATTATTTTTTCATTCCACTGTTTTTATTCCTGTCTTCATCCAGTGAAACACAGCCTCTGTGCCATGAAGTTGTTCCAAAGTAGATAAAAATTTGGCAAAAGTCGATATAATGCAGAAATGCTCAATTTTATTTGGAATGTCTTCAACAGGCTAAAAATTATTTTGAGTTAACCAGAAAAAAGCTATAAGTGGAAGTGTGGCTCAAGGGGAAGATTGCCAGCCTTAAGGGAAAATTTTAAGCAAGATCATGAGGCCCTGAGTTCAAGCCTCAATACCGGCACACAAACAAATAATGCATTTGTGAAGATCTTTTATGTGCAAAGTCTAAGGAGTGAGACAGGGAATTAATTTTCATGTACAAATCAACTAGCATTCATTAATTCTGCGTGCTCACAGGATTAATCCCAATCACTTTTGCTAAATAGAGGACCCAGTTAGGAGCTGGATAGAAAACTGGCAATATTTTGAGATCATGATGGAATCACTGGCTGCAGGGATCATCCAGAACCTGGTGCTCACCTGGCTATCTTGCCTGTGGTTTTGCTGTGATGCTGGTTGCCCAACCCAACCCCTAGGAGGCTCATCCTGCCTTCAGTGGTTTCTCCAGCCCCAGAGCAGTTTTTAATGGTCTTTATTGATCATTAGTTGACATTTATGAAGAAAGTTTTTTCTTTGTTTTGTTTTGGGGGGGGGTCCAGACGTGGGGCCTGAACTCTGGGCCTGGGCGCTGTCGCTCAGCTCTTCAGCTCAAGGCTAGCACTCTACCACTTGAGCCACAGCGCCACTTCCAGCTTTTTTCTTTTTGCTTATGTGGTACTGAGGAATCGAACCCAGGGCATTAGGCATACAAGGCAAGCGCTCTACCACTGAGCCACCTTCCCATCCCTGAACAAAGTTTTAATACTGATAGTAAAGCAGATCAATCAATGATTCAGATACAATATTCTCCCAAACTAAGAAATTGTAATTTGCGGATTGTAATTTCAAATTGCAATGTGTAATTTATTATTTACAACTACCAAGGTCAAATCACTATTCTTTGCATTTCAAGAGCTCAGATAATGGGTTTATGTGTCACTTGCTATGCAGATTACAGATATAGGTAAACTGCAGCACATCTAAATTAAACGTGGGTAGAGCTGAGCATTGTCACAACTCTTCTAAGGTTCTTCTTCCTCTGATGTGTGAGTCTCACCCTGTGTAGGCTCACACCTTCTGCCTCAGCTGACTGTGATTGGAGGAGAGAGTGCCTTCCTTAACCCTGCCTCACTTCCAGTGAGCACCTGCAGATCAGACCACAAAGATCCAGTCTGAGCTGGGGCAGGGCAACGTTGGGTATCCCACCTCTACTAACCTTCGGGTCTTTAAACAATAGATCCAAATTCTCTATATAAAGGAAAGCACACAGTATGTTTGCCTAAATCCCACTTATTTTGCTTGACATGATGTTCTCCAGCTCCACTCATTTTCCTGAAAATACTGGATCCATTCCTCTCCATGGCTGTGTAATGCTCCTTCCTGCACACACATTTCCTATTCCTTTCATGGGCCCATGGGCACCAAAGCTGCTCTCATAACCTGGCTGTTGTAAACAGTGTACAGGAGTCTCATCGTGTGCTGACCCGATCCCTTTGGTACAAATCCCACAAAGTATCTTTGCCCCAGAAGCGTCCATGCATGCGGTGTTTCTACTTTCAAATTTTGATGAACCTCGATGCTGCCTTCTAGTGTCTACCCTGTCTGGCTTTGCACCAACTGTGCATGAGGCTCCTCAGCCCGCCACACCATGGGACCCCACTGCTGCTGCTTCAGTACTGTGTATTTCACAGATTTGTTTGGGGAGTTATATGCACTGGTTTAGTTCTAGCAGGTTCTATGTGCCTAGGGAGTTACACATTTATTCTAGATTTTCCACTTGATTAGAATACATTTTTTGGAATATTTCTTAATCATCTGCTGGACTTCAGTGATACCTACTAATACCCCCTTTTCAATTATAATTTTATAAAATTTGGGTCTTTTCCCTCTTTCTCTGATTAATTTGTCTACAGGTTAGCAGATCTTGACAATGATCAAGACACACTAAATTCATAAACTGCTTTGTTAAATGGCAACTCTTTTGCACAACAACTAAAGACCATAATATTTTTTTTAAAAAAATATCTAATTGTTCATTCGTATTATTCTTTTTAAGTTTAATTTCATTAAAGTCTTCTCTGTTCTTCATTATCTCTATCAATTAAGTTTGGGTTTGGCTCATTCTTGTTTTGCTAAGGCCTTGAGCTGCATCATTAGGTTATTTATTTGAAATCACTGTTATAATTGCTCTTATAAGTATTCATAACCATAAACTTTCTTATTCCAAACATTCTGGCAAGCTGTACGTTTCCCCTCCTCCCTCCCCTCCCTTTCTCCTCCCCTCCCCTCCCTTCCTTCCTTCCTTCCTTCCTTCTTTCCTTCTTCCTCCCTTCTCCTTCTTTCCTCCCCCCCTCATTTCCTTTTCCCTTTCTCTTTTTCAATTATCATAACTTTTAATAAAACAATTTTATTTCTGAGGTTGATTATGTTTACCTTGTGCAGGAGAGAATGAGTTTCATGAAAGCAGGAAGTAGTTAGCTTTTGTTCCATTGTATCTCAGCACATAGGAAAGTCCCAAATACATAGTAGATGTTCAATACATAATGAATGAGTAAATGAAACCCACTCATTCTCGCTTGAATCACAACTTCAGAGACATGTGGAGAAGAACTAGACTATTGGGCTCCTTCTTACCATGAATCAATGGCCCCTTTCTACACACCAGCTACATTTGGTTAAGCATGAATTATTAAAGAAACAGAAGCAGGGAGAAGAACAAAGTTTGTTATTGCAAGACCAGTTCGATGTGCCTATTGGTAATGAAGAATTGGAGCCGTCCAGTTCAGTTAAGCATTGAACTACTTGAGTCTAACAGTTATGGGTTCAAACACAGCTTCACTCAGGCATGATTCTTTGATTAAAGAAAGGGAATCTTAGGGCTAGGAAGATCTCTTAGTAGTAGAATGCTTGCCTAGCATGTATGAAGCCCTGGATTTGATTCCTCAGTACCACATAAACAGAAGAAAAAAAAAACAGGAAAAAAAAACAGAACTAGAGCTGTGGCTCAAGTGGTAGAGTGCTAGCCTTGAGCAAAAGGAGCTCAAGGACAGTGGCCAGGCCCTGAGTTCAAGCCCCAGGACTGGCCCAAAAAAATGAAAATGAAAAAGAAAAGAGAATTTTATGTCCAAAAAGAAGTCTTTTAAAAGTCTTTACCTGGCTTATATAACTTTAACTCTGCTGTGTATCATCTTTACAATAACAATACAAAATAAGTAAGAAAAAACAAAAGCAAGGGAACTTCATGTACAGCTGTGTTTTCTCATCATAACATATTCTAATGGGCTGTTCTAGTCTAACCCATGTCCCAAATGACAAGAGCAACTTTCTTGCACTTCTGTCCACTTCAGCTCCTCAGATGGTAAGTGCCTTTGCCCAGGTTCCCTTATTCATGCTAGTGACAAGGCACAGCTACTTCATCAAGCCCTTAGAGCTTTCTTGGCCTGCCTCATCTTTAACAGAAGGCTAAGGACAGCCATCATTATAAGGCCATGGCTTCTTCAGGGCTTGTGTTCACTCAACACTAAAAAAAGTACTTGGCATATATTACCTTCTGTCTGTCTGTCTGTCTCTCTCTTTCTGTGTCTGTAGTAGGGCTTGAATTCAGAGCCCTGCGCTCTTTCCTGGCTTTTTCACTTAAGGTTGGGGTTGTACCATTTGAACCACACCTCTACTTCCAACGTTTTGCTGGTTAGTTGGAGAAAAGAGTCACAGATTTGTCTGCCTAGCTGGCTTGCAATCCTCAGATCTCAACCTCCTGAGTAGTTAGGACTAACAGCATGGGCCACCAGTGCTTGGCAAAAGTGGGTTTTTTCTAGACAATAGTTTTCTTAAGTATCTTTGTAAACATGACATCTTATATATGATCTGTGCATATTCTTGTTGACTAAATTTGCCAAAGAATCCTATCTATTTTTTCCACCCATTTTTACCCTTTACTTAGTGTGCTATAAAAGTAACTGTAAATTAGGTTATTTCTTAAAATTTTACAAGCCTACCGATTTATAACTTTTGTGAAAGAGAAGCTTGAGAATATATTCAGGATTTTCATGACATAAACATCTGCATACATCTGCTAAATATTTTTCCATTTTAATTTTGGATATTAAAAATGTTGACGAAGAATTTGGGTAGCAAGGGCTCATGCCTATAAACCTAGATACTCAGGAGGCTGAGACTTGAAGGATCATAGTCAATGCCAGCTTGGCAGAATATTTTCCTGTACTCCATCTGCAAAATAATCAGCAAAAAGTAGAGCCGGAGGCATAGTTCAAGTGATAGAGTAATAGCCAGCAGGCTGCAACCCTGAGGTGAAATCCAAGAAATGCTAAAATAAGAGAGCTATAAAGTAAATTC